AGCATTAATCCAGCATGTCATTGTTAATGTATATTGCATATAAAAAGTGTATATTTTGAAACAAGAGATCACAAAATTAATGTCTATTTATTCACACTTTATGCTACTTTATTATACTAATTTATTTCATGTCCATAGGGATAGATAGATAGATAGATAGATAGATAGATAGATAGATAGAATATGAGTAAATGTACATGATAAATATATAATAAATATTTTTAACATATATAACAGATTTTATGTGTTTACATTTTAAAATTTAATAAAAAGTTAGTCACATAAAAGAATTTCCATTTACTTATTCACAAACACATCATAATATTGCCTGCTAATACATGTTTAACATTTAAAGCTCTATAAATTCATATTATTAATTTAATGATAACAATTATTATTATTGTATATTTATAGTATATAAAAAAATAATGTTAACCATTTGAACCGTTATTGTAATATGCTACCATTTATTCATTTAGTAAGTTATATAATGAGTAGGTTTTCCAATGACATGTAAAAGATGCAAAATACCTGTATTCATTAATTATCAATTAAACGATTGATTGATTTTGGACACATTTTATGGATGTGGCTACTTTGGCCTTCTTTAGATTGTGAAAAAAATTTATCTTTTGCTAATAGCCCTGCTATCTATGAGAGACATATTCAGTGAGAGAGCAAACAAAGCACAACACTAGGCGCTGTCACTCTTATCAGGCGCTCGGGTCAAACACAATCAAAGAGATTCCTCTTTAGTCAAGGGCAAATAAATGTCATCACTCACGGCCACAAAGTATGAAAACCCTGTAAACAGTCTGTGGGATTTTCTGCACTTGAGCACACATCATTCCTATTACGTACACATGCGTTCTCCTTCCATTCCCCGTAAGTTCCTCCGCGCTGTGGGGAATTGTGAACTTGCGAGAGACTCGCTGTAAAACATTAAAAACTCAACCACAGCCCTAAATTCCAGGAGATGTTTGCTAACCCCATGCCTGTGTCTAAGAGTACTGTGGGGGCTCAGGGGGATGTGATGAATGGGCCGAAAGAGCATGATGAATGTGGTGTGTGTATGTGTGTGTGAGGATGGCCATCAGGGTTTGGGTACGCATGAGGGTTAAGATGAAGCAGAGAGGAGAATCTCACACTGAACTGTGAGGGGAAAAAAGAGAGAATGTAGCTGAGTGATGGAAAAAGAGGAGGAGAGAAGAGAGACAAGTGTGTGAGAAAACAAAAAACTGGAGAAACAGTCCTCAGGAAAAAGCTTATAATTTTAATTTAGGATGGCAATCAATTTCAAATTTTGATTGAATTAGGATGATGAATAATTAATTTAATTAATCACAGTTAATCACATATATGCAAAAAAAAGACCTCAAATTAAGATAATTCAGATTGCATTTTTGAAAAGACAAAAAATGTAAATACTGGTTATTGCTCCGTGTAAACATGATAGAATGGCTTCATTCAAATATCAGTTTTCACAATCCAGTCAGTTCCCAAATTATAAAATCAAGCCTCATCCTTTTTTTCTTACAGTATCCTGTTTCACTCTGAAATTTTGTCAGATCATGGTAGTAAAATGAGTTGCAAATACAGTTTGGTGTTTTACATTAGAACATTTGCCAAATATTATTTATTGAATTCATAGATTTTATTCATAGTGACTGTGTGCTATGTAGAGAGGTTTTACTGTAGTTTGATCTATAATATATGATCTTTTATTCACTATGAAGACTAGATTAATGGCTGCTAAAAATCAGCTTTGCCATCACAGAAATAAATTACAATTTAAAAAATATTCAAATGAAACCAGTTCTTTTCAATTGAAATAATATTTTACAATTGTGATGTTTTTCGTGTATTTTAGATCAAATAAATGCAGCCTTGGTGAACATAAGAAACTGCTTTCAAAAACATTAATAAATCTTAACGACCCCAAACTTTTAATCTGTATTGTATAGTATATATAATATGATAGAAAATTATATTGAGTGTCCTGAACAGTTTAGGAAGGGGATTTGGGTTACACAGCTGCTCTTTTTGTGAAATCCCTGCTAGTTACTCTGGGTCACAACCTCTATTTTCTGTTACTGTCCAGATAAGGTAAAAACACTGCTGGGTTTTGTCTGCTTTATAGCACCAGTTAACCTCTAACATTACTGTGCTCTCCACTTATGAACTTTTATATGCAATACACATTCTGTAGTTGTCTGTTCATGTTCATGTTGTATAAACCTTCCAGTTATATCTGTATTTTCTCATTCTGCAACCTCAACTTTGTTTTATTAGGCCTTTACATTTTATTTAATATTTTATTATGTATACTCTATTCCAGAATATTCTGTAATCTTGGATCTACGATTGTAGTTTAACTTCCAACCGTTCACAGGAGGCTTCAAATGATGTTCCTGTGGGGTTGGCTGCTGCTGCTGCTCGTTTGGCAGGAAGTCACAGTTCTTTATGTAGCATGGCAGGAGGGTGCTTTTTAAGCTTGTTATAAGTTGGCAGTATGCAATAATAAATTCACCAGTACTGCAGAACATCTTTGAAGGGTCGCCCTAAGATGCATGCTTCTAAGTTATATAGACAGCAGGTCAACAGGGGTGGGTTTGTCTTACGTAAACCCAGCAGATTTGGCACGTCACACTGGTTAGCACATGGAAAGTAAAGCTGGAAACTCTCTTTCTTTCTGTAAATGCAAACTATCAGTCAAACCTTTGGACACACCTACTGATTTTTTATTATGACTATTTTCCACAATTTAGAATAATAGTAAAGTCATCAAAATTATGAACAAACACAAATGGAAGTATGGGAATGTTGTGACCAGAAATGATAGAAAGATAGACAGATAGAGGGAGGGAGGGACGGACGGACGGATGGACGGATGGATAGATAGATAGATAGATAGATAGATGAGTGGACCGACGGATAGATAGATAGATAGATAGATAGATAGATGAGTGGACCGATAGATAGATAGATAGATAGATAGATAGGAGCTGGAGACGACTAGCCATGTTTACAGTTTTCACAGATGGGGTTTAGACAGTGTCAGGTTAAGTGAGATAAATGACTAAGTTCCTCTGTTGCCCCACATGGGAAAAGCAACAGCAATGTAGAAATGCTCAAAGTCTGTCACTTCCCACCCAGCCACTGGAGAAAGCTATTTTATCATAGTTATCCCTTCAACATCCATACGTTTTCTACATCTGGAGTAAAACGTTTTCTGAAAACGTTCACACAGACGTTTTCTCTATCAACGTCAACACTGATGTCAGATTGTGCGCGTGATCTTTCAGGTAGGAAACACTGCCGCCGTGTGGTGAAACTTCAAATTATACTATTTCTAATGCAAATTGTGGAAATGCCAAATGGCCAACAAAGATTAAGAGATAATGAATTAGCATTTCCCTTGATATCAGCGCCTCACACTCCATCCCAGTAGGTGGCGGAATATGCACCAAAAGCTGGTTTGCCAACCGCCATTAAACATCATAAGAAGAAGAAGAAGAAGAATGCCAAATGGCCCTTCTGAGTCGCCGTAACAGTACAGAAGCGAGAACGCTAAATATGAAATGAGTGTGATAACTGCTAATTAGGCCTGTCGCAATAATCAATATATCGACTTATCGCGCAATATATGTACATGACCTCAATAATTTTTTGGTGACGCAATATATCGCACATTATATTTACTCCATGCTTTTTACATTCCACTTGCGCTTGTGTCTTTTGCAGCTTCTCGTATATAACGTGGTGTAGTCATGAGGTGCTAGTTCACATTTAAAAAATGCTTCTACAAATAAAGTTATCTCCATATCTGCAGATATGGTCTTGTTTAGGGATCTGTGAAATATTCTATAGTTTGTTGTCATTTGGAAGTGTGTAGGCCTTCTTGCATTATTGCTGTTACATTGATTATATATTCAGTGGCATAAAATGGTCTTTAAAATGACAATAATATCGCTTATCGCAATTATTTCTGGGGCAATATATCGCACAACAAAAAGTTGTTATCGTGACAGGCCTACTGCTAATAGTTTAAAATTACATTATTCAGCTTTTTTTTTCAGACAGACCCAACACTATGACCCAAGTCTGAATACAACAGCAAAAAAAACCAAATCCTCATACAATGCCACACTTAAAATTATTTCTATGCTCCTGTTTGAAGGATAAAGTTGTTTACAATTTACGAATATAGCCTACATTTATTTATAAGGCTTTTGGTTAATAAATATATAGGTTTTATGTTTACAAATCTACTTTTTCATTCACATTCATTATTGATGAAGAACAACATACAAACAAAAACCATCCATAGTACAAAAATTAATAATTTAAGATTTTTTATTATTTTCATTATTATATTCACGAAATAAAAAAAAATAGTGAAATAAAAGATTAAATTAAATGACAACACTTACAGTTCCTACTCTTCAGTTCAATTCAACTTTTTTATTATTATTAATATATTTAAAAGTCTAAATAATCAAACTTTCGAAAAACAAATAAACAAATATTAAAACATTTTTTTAGATTGGCTAATTTTGCTTTTATATATTATTTACTAAATACAACCAAGGTTTAAATTAAAAATGTATTTAGGTCTAGGCAAAAAAATGCAAATTGCATTTTTTTAAATTATTGATCAAGAACAAAATACAAACTAGACAATGATAGTACATAAAATGTATATTTTTAAATATAATGAATACTTTTATTATTATATTTTTCGATACAGTATAAAAAAAGGAGAAAAATAAAATACATTTTCGTATTATTAATATATGGGACGCAATAAACAAGGCCAAATCAGTTATCGAATTGTTAAAATATTATAAAATGTATTTTATGATATGCAATTTAATAAGCAAAACGATCATGTTCAAAATAAAAGTCGAAATAAATAATAACGTCTCTGATTTTTGCATATTCATTGCACAAAGCGGAAGTTTCATTGTGAAGTCACGTCTACGTATTCCACGTCACGGAAGTCACAGAGATGATGATCCATCCATTATCTAAAGCCGAGCTGAGAACTTGGGTTATCGGTCTTGTAATGTTGTGGTACTTTACAGGATACAGACTCAGGACTGCCTCGGTCTAAAAGAGAGCCGAAAACTCTCGAAAGCGGAGGCGCTGAGTTGGTGGGCTAGCTCGCTAGTTTAGCAGCCAGCTGCCTTGGCGACGAGCTGAGTAATAATCTCAAGACGGCCATCGAGGCAGCTCGCAGTTATTTCATTTTACTGTCGCCTTGTATTGCGTAGCCATGGCAACTCGGCGACTGACCGATGCCTTCTTATTAATGCGGAACAATGCAATCCAAAACCGGCAGATTGTGGCTGAGCAAGTGAGTACATACGACCCCCGTCGTACTCTGAATACACGTAGCAATGCTGCGGTGAGTCTAACGTTCATTGTCTGAATTGTTTGTTTTCGCGCGTGTGTGTGATTCTGAGCTAGCTAGACAACAGCCCTAGCTAGTGGTGTTTGTTGATGTCAATCGGCCCAGTCGGTTGTCCAACAAACCTCTACTGTTTTGTTTGCCGTGTGAGGAGTTGGTAGGTCTGTGCAAACCGGCTAGCTGTTCATCAAACACTTCTCGTACAGTCGCATTTTGATTTACCTCAACACACGGGAATGGCAATGAAATTACTAAGTCACGAGGTTGATGGTCGTGCTAGTTTTGCTAACGTTTAGATCATGAATTTATCAGTTCGCGACGTTTTGATGCCAGGGACCTTAAAATATGATGGGCCCCTTTCTGAAATATGAAGGCAGCTGTATATTTTCGTTTATGAAGATCCATTTGTACTGTGTGTGGAACAAAATTAAGTAGGCCTATTATATTATAAAATAACTTCATTGGCTTTTTTATTGTCAATGTGTCTAAAATAAGTGATGAAAATATAAGCTATAATAATATTAGCTATGAAAATAATAGCTGTTGGATGTATAAACTTGAAAAGAAACATTTACACATTTTTGTAATTGTGTTTTATTTCAAATATGAATGTCAGTATAATAAAACAAAGATGATAGGTAGTGATTAATCCAGGATTAATAACTTTAGAATAATAACTTTAGGTCTTTAGAAAACAAAATGAAACAGTAATGTCAAAATCAGTATACACTACTGTTCAAGAGTTTGAGTTTGGGGTTGTTGTTTTTTTTTTTTATGTTCACCAAGGCTGCATTTATTTGATAAAAAAATACAGTAAAACAGGAATATTGTGAAATACTATTTCAATTTAAAATAACTGCTTTATTCAGTGTCGCATGACAGAAACTATTTTTTGTTTTGTTTTTCATTTAAAAAAAAAAATTTTTCATATGCTGGTTTGTTGCTCAAGAAACATTTCTTAATATTACCTGAATGTTTTGTGGAAACACTGATTTTGCAGGATTCTTTGATGAATGCAGAGTTCAAAAGAACAACATTTATTTGAAATAGAAATATTTTGTAAGTCTTTACTGTCGCTTTTGATCAAGTTAATGTATCCTTGCTTAATAAAATTATTCATTTATTTTTCAGAAATTGTTCTTACCCCATGACCTTGAACGGTAGTGTAGGTTAGCTTTTTTCCTGAAATTTGATCATACAAAAATAATTTAAATTAAATATTTGTAAATTTGGGATATTTTGGATTGGTTAACCAGGTTTATGGAACCAGGTTTAAAATCATAATTTATGCCTTTATGTATCACTTTTCATTAAATGCCTCTAAGCTGTAAGTTGTAATACCTTATTTTTATGCATTTACAAACATAATAACTGTAGTGTGGTGTTTTATCGCTACATTTCTAAAATAGTTGTGTGAGACTCTTTGATTCTGTACATACTTTGCTCTAGTTATGTTTTTACATTTTAAAATGAGACTCCAGACGAAGGCAGTATGTTTTGTCTCCCAGTCTTCCATAGATCTTTCTTACAGATAAGCTATGCATCACATTTTTCTTTCTCTTTGATGCTGGTGGGCGGCCTGCTATCCAGCATGCTTTTAAATATTCCAGTATCTTTATAGGGTATTGATTGGGTCCTGACAGACAGATTTTGTATGTCTGTCAGTGCAGTATTTGAAGTTAGCACTGTGTTACTAGCACGGACGTCATTCTGAACCTATATCAATCATACAAGCCTGCTTGTGTTTTGTCTGGTGTAGTGACTCCATTCTTTACCATCTGCTTGCATGTTTATTTTTCCCCTGTTTGTACTTGTGGTCTAGCTAAGCACTTCTTGCTCTGCCTTGCAAAATCCTGACAGAATCTTCTGCTGTGCATTGCTCAGATCTAAAGTAATCATGCCAGTGTGTTGCTTTGGGTTAAAAATAGGATTTATCTTCCAGCTTAATCTTTTATTGCATTTTATAAATTCAGTAACATCACAGAGCGCTTTTTTTCCCAAACCTAATATCTTATTTAGTGAATTTATGAATCAGTAGCACAATTATGCAGTAGGATTAAGATGTTGGAGTTATAGGGCTGGAATGGACAAATCTTAGGTATATGCACATGTGTATTTTATATCTATGTATTTCTGCCTTCTACATTAGCATATATATATATGAATTAATCTTCAGTTAAGAACACTTTGCATTTATTGGTTTTTGTTCCTGATTTGTCCAGTTCTGTCCAAGTCCTGCTGTCAGTCTTTTTGATGCTGATCTCTGCTTTTTGTCTTGGGCTCCTCTGCTCTCACTCCTCATGTTCCTCCCCTTCTCTTCTATCTCTCCTCTCATTGGATGGGACATTGCTGGGCTCTTCCTATCACATTAGGAGTTTGATGAGGTAACCTTGATGTTTTAGCATTCCTTTGCTAAGCTCCGCCCCCTTGGTTACTGTTGCTAGCTCAGATGAGCTTTAAAGAATGTCTCGTTGGAATGAATTAATGTTAATTTACCACCAATAAAAACATAGTTATGTGTGTTCATTTAGGAATGAGTGCAACACATAATTTTAGTCACAGCATGGACTTTTTCAAGATTTGACAGTGTGTATCCTTTCTTCCTGATTTACAGTTTTCAGTGACCAACAACATTTTATTGATTTTTTTTTTCTGTACAATTGCTTTCAAAACCATAAAAAACACACCTTCCATAGACTTGCATTAAAAAAGTGCTTGTCTGATAAAATGATGGAACAATAGAAGGATAAAGTAGGGTTGGTCTGTGCCATTTTTAAGGCGGGGCTTAGTAAAAGGTCAGTTTGTGCAAAATTTGAAACACTGTTGTTTTTTCATAAAATATTTTATCCAATAATTCTTTCAGCTACCAATAATAATCTCTCATACAGCTACATTTACTGTATTTGAATTATTTTCACAGATTTTATCAACAAAAATGTGATGTTTGCCCTCATTTCTTTCTCTGTCTGTTAGTTGGCTGATGACCGTATGGCCCTGGTGTCAGGCATCAGTTTGGATCCAGAAGCTGCTATCGGTGTCGCGAAGAGACTCCCGCCTAAATGGGTGGAGGGAGTGGATGAGGTAATTATTAGATGTTTGTTTGAAGTGATCAGTGACATTTAAAGGCATGTTCCAGTTTCAAAACAAGTTAAGCTCTACTGGCAGCATCTGTGGCATGCTATGAATCACCAGAGTAATCATTTAGACTCACCCCTTAGTTTGTTCAAACAAACAAACAAAAAAGCATGTACAGTAACACATTTACAGTATTTAAAAAAAATCATTCAAAAGTGACATTTAATGAACTGGACAAGACATGTATTATATTACAAAAGATTTCTGCTTCAAATAAATGCTGTTCTTTTGAACTTTTTTTTAATTTATTTTTTTATCAAAGAATCCTGAAAAAATGTGTAGTAAAATGTTTCTTAAGAAGCAAATCAGCATATTAGTATAATTTCTGAAGCGGCGGTTCCCAATCCCAGTCCTTGCCCCCATATCAGTTATTTAAAATTCATTAATTTTTTTCCACAATATTACCGTTTTTACTGTAAGTGCAGCCTTACTGAACATAAAATACTTTTTCAAATTGGCAAATTCTTACCAACTTTTAAATGTTAGTGTATATTAATTCTTGCTTGCATAAAAAATGGTCTTAAACAATTTTATGTTTAATGTTAATCAACAGTATTTATTTTGAACCTAGATGTAGTAGATATTTGACATTGGCATACATAGTCATCGCTCAAATAAGACTTCTATCCATAGTCAACAGAGTGAACAGTGAAGTCCTTGTTCCCGCAGATTCAGTATGAAATCACACGCATTCGTCAGAAGATGAAGGAACTGGCCAATCTGCACGACAAACACATGAACCGGCCCACGCTGGATGACAGCAGTGAAGAGGAGCACGCCATCGAGATCACTACACAGGAAATTACACAGGTATAATAACACACGCAGAAATCCTGTTTTATTACAGTGCCATCTGTTATAACTAAAGAGGTTGAAGTGGACAGACAGAAAAACTACAGCAATTAATCAAAGCACACATCATAAAACAGCAGTTGTAATTTTCAGCAGTTGTAGTGAGTCTGCATATGTGTGTGTAGATGTTTCACAGGTGCCAGCGGGCCGTGACGGGGCTCCAGACTCAGAGCCGTCATTGTACAGAGCAAGAAAACAGGCTGTTGACCAATGTGGTCTCCTCACTGGCCCAGAGCCTTCAAGAACTGTCAATCAACTTCAGACACACACAGTCAAGCTACCTGAAACGTAAGTGTATGCAAACACAAGATTTATGTTAATCAATATAAGAACATTAGCTTTTACCTCATGCTGTGTACTTTTGACAAATCTTTGATACATCTTACTTTCGTTTATAGGTATGAAAAACCGTGAAGAAAGATCCAAGCACTTTTTTGACTCCGGTCCTCTTGTGGAGGAAGATGAAGATATTGCGCTTTATGAAAGAGTGAGACTGTTTTACAAATACTCATGTTTTTAGTATATATGCTACATACATGTTTTCATATTGGTGACTATATCGGTGTCAACCAATCGCTTTTGCTTTAAATTACTGACATTGTTGGAAGCACATTTACAATTAATTTGTCATATTTTGATGCTTAATGTCCCTTGAAGCATGTAAATTCTAAATTCCAGACCTTAAGAGTGAACGCTGTAGTCGTGCCGGTATTCGGTAATGCGATATCACGGTAATGAATATGCACGATATTGTTATCCTGGGCACTTCAAACTATCGTGAATAATTTATTACAAATTATTCAGATTTTTTGAATGCATTTTAAGAATGCATTTTTTTATCAACTGGTCACAATGCACAACACCGCTGTATGCTGCGTGAAAGACGCATGTGCACTCTGATGTAAACGAGCACGGATGAGAAGCGCATGGCGGAGCTTGTGAGAGACGCTCTGAATGAAAGCGCACATTCACCCTCTGACAGCAGATGGCGCTAAACTGCAGAAATGCAGTGTTACCCCTGAAACCACATAAATAAAGCAGCTGCACTTATTTCTAAAACATATTTAAATAGCCATTCAGATTTTTGTATTCGCAGTGGTGTTCATCACAACGCCAAATACTTAAATATTTAGACTTAATAGGCTATTTATTTTCTTTTTTATTTATTTAACTTTTTTTTTTTTTACATTTTAATCTGGATTACAACATGCCCTAGATATTGATTCTTTATTGTTTGGTAACACTTTACATTAATTAACATTAGTTAATTAATTCGTAAACAAACTGTCAATGAAAAGTTCTTCTAAACTTTCATTAATCTTAGGTAATTTCAATATTTAATAACACGTTAAAATAAAAAGTTGCAACTGTTGTTTAATGAACTAACAGTTGTATTTTTAAACAAAGATTAATAACTTCTGTAGCAAATGTAGCTATTGCTCATTATTAGTGCTGCACGATTAATCGTATCGCAATCGCGATGTCAACCTGTGCGATTATATGACGGCAAAATGTTGCGATTATATTAAATATGCAGCCCTACTCATTATTAATGTTAATGCATTAACTAGGTTAACTAGATCTTATTGTAAAGTGTTACTTATTGGTCTTTATAATTCTTTGGCACTTTAATCTGTGTGAAATTTTTTACTTTATACTTTTTTGTGTTACTTTATTGTATGTAAATGTTCAGTTCTTTTTGTTATAAGAAAAAAGTTATTAAACATGTTATACTTTGACGACACTTTTTTGCAACTAAATTTCAATACCGTATACGGTTTTAAAAGCATTAGCAATAAATCGCAACATGAAAATTTGATACCGTCATATGCCTAGAACGCTGTATACATTTATTTAAATATGGGCCATAATATAAAATTAATAATCTTTTTTTTTTTTTATAGAACATTTAGATATTGGTGTGCAGTGGTCGGCCCGATATTTGGCATTTTTAAATTAGTGGCATTGACTGATAAATTTTGGCTTGGCCAATAGCAGCTTTTATTTTGACCACGAATAAACTATACTGTGTTATATCCAGTTTGCTGCTGTCATATTCATATTCAAAATTAGCTTTACCTGGTCTTTAAGAAAATATAATTTCCAGTGCTAACATACTTACTGGTTCCACTGTTGGTTAGTGTTTACTAATTTTTTTTTAATGTTTTAAACTATTTTTTAGTTGTGAAAAATACTATAATAGTATTACAGAATCAAGAAGTTGCTAAAGCGTAATTTTACAGATTTGTTTTAATCAAGTTAGAATTTTTTTCATATTGATTAATTTTATGATTAATTATTTCAAATGTAGTAAATATAAAAAATAATCTACATTTCATTTCAACTTTTGTTATGTAATAGCATTTTATTTTCAATACATGGTTGACATCTGTCTTTCTCACTCTTTCAGGGGTTTACAGATGACCAACTAGTGCTGGTTCAGCAAAACACAGTGCTGGTAGAAGAGCGAGAGAGAGAAATTCGACAAATTGTTCAGTCCATCTCTGACCTTAATGAGATATTTAGAGATCTTGCTGGAATGGTTGTTGAACAGGTCAGTGTGCTTCTTAAGGGGAAAAAAAAATATTAAACAGAGTCCTATCCTGTAATCCTGTCCTAAAACCTGTACTATTTTGGATTCTTTACATGTAATTTTATATATTAATTTATTTATATAATTAAACTGATTTAATATGAATTATATAGGAATTAATGAATAAAAATGAATAATAAAAATAAGGATTATAAATAAATTAGGTTCCTACACAAAATGAATATTATGCTTTGAGGCAGTTGCATAAATATGCAAATTATGTTTTTAAAATATGCATTGTTAATGTCAATGTAAATTCAATGCAGGGCACAGTCCTCGACAGAATTGACTTCAATGTGGAGCAAGCATGTGTCAAAACAGAGGAGGGACTGCAGCAGTTGCAGAAGGTGAGGCTCTTATCAAGCCTGATGATGTGTTAAGCAACATGTCAAGGGTTGTAGTTGATTGCACTTACTTTTTCAGTCATTTATTGTTTAATATAAATGTACATACAATATCCACATGATACTTTTAAAATAATATTACATAATAGAGATGGAAAGCACACTCAACTTTTCTCTTTCCTTTCTTAGGCTGAACAGTACCAGAAGAAAAACCGCAAGATGCTGGTCATTTTAATTCTCTTTGTCATAGTTGTTGTTCTAATACTTATTCTGTTCGGGACAAAGTTTAGGTGAATCATTCCATGGCCTCTAGGAGGGATCTACCTGTATGTATGAGAGAAATTGATGTGTGCGTGAGTGGGTATGCATGCTAACTTTCAACACCATTGTTTGAGTGTGGAAAATGTGGTGGTGAAAATTTGGAAGGTGCTCATCTCAACTGCCCTTGTCATCTCATGTGAAGAGTAAACAGGAAGATAATGGGAAAAGATAAGTTATCCTCGGAAGATGATCATATCTGCTTGGGTGAATTCAAAAAAAGAAAAGAATTCCAAAAAAGAATTTCCAGGTCATATTTCATCCCAAAATTTTGCTGAAGTTGTCCTAAAAGACTTGTTTATATTTTTCTTATAATTTTTTGGACATTTCCCTCTCAACTCTCATTACTGTAATGCAGAATTAAACAATTTTAAATGAAAAAGTACAGTTGCAGTATTACAGTATTTTTTGTACTGTACAACAGTGGTACAAATCTAATGGGAACCACCATTGATAATAATGGAAGGTAAATTAGAATACATTAAAATAACTGAGACTTTAGGGGGAATGGGCTTAAAGGAACACTCCCCTATTTTTGAAAATAGGCTCATTTTCCAACTCCCCTAGAGTTAAACAGTTGAGTTTTACCATTTTTGAATCCATTCAGCCGATCTCCGGGTCTGGCGGTAGCACTTTTAGCTGTAGCTTAGCATAGATCATTGAATCTGATTAGACCGTTAGCATCTCTCAAAAAAGACCAAAGAGTTTCTATATTTTACATAGTTCCTTGATTATTACACCGGAATAAGAGTATAGTTCCTAGCCATATCGGCCTAGAGAATCGCAACTTTTCATTTTCCGTCGGTCTTAGTACACAATGCAACTACAGAAGAGTCAAGTTTTAAATAGGAAAAATATAGAAACTCTTTGATCATTTTTGAGTGCGATGCTAACGGTCTAATCCGGTTCAATGATCTATGCTAAGCTACAGCTAAAAGTGCTACCGCCAGGCCCGGAGATCGGCTGAATGGATTCAAAAACGGTCAAACTCAACTGTTTAACTCTAGGGGAATTGGAAAATGAGCCTATTTTCAAAAATAGGGGAGTGTTCCTTTAATGGTTGTAAAAATAATTTCATGATGCATATTCTTTTGAATATTGGGTTAAATGTCACCTGAACGTGCTTTCTAAAGATTCACCCACTTTCTTGGGTTCAGTCAACATCAGTTGTGAGCATCTTTATTGAAACCTGTCATAAGCTGCTTTTGAATCAGACCTTGCTTGCAGGTTAGGATGTGTTTGTTCGATGCGAGCCCTAGATGACCTCATAAATTTCCTGTAATTTAATCTGAAAATTTTCCACTGTGTTTTTGTGTGTGTGAGAGAGAAACACTGACACTCCAGTCAACCATGGAGGAAATTGATGACTGAGGAATGAGGATCATGTACTCAAAGCATTTACCATGTACAGTTTTTAAATTTTTTTATGTGGTAAAATGTATATCATTGGGATTATGACATGTTGAATGAGCTGAATGTTACATTGTCCTTTACGAGCATCCATAACTGAGCGTTAGTTCCTCTGCTCACGTCAGCGGAGGTGTTTTATGCACCATCATGTGTTTGTCTACGTTGTAATGGCAGTGTTGTTGTCATCAGTATCATTTCAGTGATTTATTCCGTGAAAAGCAGGAGTGATTCAGCAAGATTTTTTGCTTCACTCTGTTCCTTGCCTTAAAGAGTGAACATTTGTGCGCTGAACTTGGATGTTTTTAACGCTTTCCTTGTCCATGTTTCATTGGCTGGTGTTGTCACTACCGTATCGTTCAGTCTGACCTTTGAACTTAAACTGGATTTACTGAAGTTCAGTTGGGTCTGCTGACTGACTGTACAACTACTGTTCCCTGTACAAGATGAAATTATTTAAGATGCAAATATGTGTACGGAGTTTATGGAGTTCTATTGGTAGTCCAGAGTCTTTTTTTCTTTGTATATTGTAATTTACTTTTTGTCCTTTCAAAAATCAATTCCTGTTGGCTTTTGTGAAGGGTAATTGCACCACTACTGTATGATGGGGTTAAATCATGAAGTTGACCATGTTATTTTATAAATACAGAGACCGTTTATTCTTATGTAATTTTAGAAGGTTTGAAAACAATATAACTGCACATTCAAAGCTTAAATCCATTTCATGTGATTTACTCCATGATTTTGGCGGGAAAGCCAGTGTGAATATAATATTTTTCTGCCATTATGGTACTACTGTATGCTGTTTGAACCTTCTGTAAACGCTGAACAGGTTTTTAATGAAATTAAAACAAATATATATAAAGATGCACGGTGTGTAGTATTTTATAAAGGCATTGATACCAAACAAAATACATAAAATGTATGATACAAAAAATATATATCGTCTAAACGTTCAATAAAAATGTGTTGGTTTTTTTTCGGACTATTGTTTCATAGGTAATGCGTTACAGGGTTAAACTGTATTTGGTCATAATTAAAAAGGTGTTAATGCCACTTGCTATGTGATAAAACATGATGTGATGCTTTGATACTGAATTATTACCATATTCAAACACCACTGGTACTCCAAGATACTTCAAGTAATGTTATTACATTAATACGCTCTGCCGTTTTATAAGCACTTCCTTGTTCGAAAACCTGAAATAAATATCTAGGTTTAAATAAATGATTAAATAGCGCGGTCAGCACAAGGGCTCGCGAGACGGGCAGGAGAAGCGGAAGGTCAAAGTGCATCTTCCCTCTGAAGAGACTGCGGAAGATGGCGAACGTTCAGCTGGAGTTCAAGGCTTCTGCCGCGGACTCAGAGCCGCAGAACCGCCCGGTCCTCATCGTCGGCCAGCTCGCTAACCTGCAACAGATCAACTGGACCCAGGTGAAAGGAAAACTGCAGCCGGTGGTCACCAAAGAGGTATGTAATGTTAAATAAAAAGTAACTGAGCTTGTAAACACATATTGACGTTAGCTTACCGGCTAAAGTTAGAGAAATCTGCCTCTTCTGACTGCTGTTGTGTAACAGACCGCTAATCTGCATTTACTGATGCAAACGTCAAGATAACAAAATCAGTTTAACGAGATAAATTATTATTATTCTAGAGACGAACCGTTACAAATTTCAATAAAATGACACTTTTCACAGTCGTCATATTTCTTTCCTCTAACAAAAAGTACCATGGTATTTTTTTAAGTATCATAGCAATATCATGGTATTTTGGGCATACCTTTTTTATGTTTAACATGTGCCAGTGGTGATATTCATTAACATTTTGGAGAACTATATAAATCTGTTAACATTACTGCCATGCAGCCACAGCCCTTATTGTTATTCCTTAGTTTTTCTTAAATCAGCCACATCATGTTGTTTAGCTAAAGGAAACACTTAGTCAAGTTAAACATTTATCATCAGCGCAAGATTTCCTGATAGACTTGATGGTCTGGATTGTTATTTGCCTGCTGTTATTGCATTTATGATCAGCATGTTATTTTACTTAATAATGTATATTTGGTTTCAGGTACACTGGCAAACAATATCGCATGGTACTATCATTTTCTGCTGCATATTTCCGTTTATGTGTGCTGTGTCTGTTTTTGCTTTCAGATATGGCAGGCAGCATTGGCCTCTCTGAATCCCAACCCTACGGATAGTTGCCCGCTGTATTTGAGTTTTGCAGCCGTGGCGGCCCTTCCTTCACGAGTCAGTCGTCACAACAGCCCATCATCTGCATACTTCCTCACCCGGCTCGTCCGTACCTGCCTGCCCGCCGGCAACAACCGATGCATTGTGGTCAGTCTCATTTTACACTATTATTAATATGCTTAGAACTCTTATTTTGTTCAAATGGACCTGGAAAATATTTCAGCAGTTTCAGATTGCATTGGTCTTGAAAGCATGTGTCTCAGTGGTTAGTCTTCATTTCCCCTGCTCATAATTTCCATGCGACGCATACAATCTCTGGATCTCCTTCACTCTCATATAAATACAGTAACACTTTCATTTAAAATACCGGTTTAAAATCAGTTTCTATTTTTTTTTTTAAACTTATCTGCCATGATGTGTTTTTTTTTTTTTTTTGGTAAAAGACAGATTTGTAACTGTAATTCATATGTAATTATGTATTTAAATTATTTCTGAAGGAACAGGATGGGCTGCTGAAAATTCAGCATTGCCATCAAATGAATAAATTGCTTTCTAAAAGATATTCGAATAGAAAACAGTTATTTAAAATTGTAATAATATTTCACAATATTACTGTTTTTCTGCATTTTTTAATCAAATAAATGCAGCCTTGGTGAGAGACTTATTTAAAAAAACATTTTATTTATCCACATTTATATACAAATTATTTATAATATAAGAAAAATTTTAAGTATATAAAATAAATATGTATATATTTTTTGATGACAGATGAGTTACAGATCTGTCTTCTAAGTCTGATACCACAGTCTGATTAGAGAAATTTATTTCCTGGCTCAGTAAAAAAAAAAAAAAGGTAAAAATCATGTTTATAGTAATGCTATTTACAATGGAATGAAATGGTGAACATTAAAATACAACCACAACACTTTTAAATGTTAAAATGAGATAAATGTGCAGTTATCTTCTATTCTATTCTATTCTATTTATTTGATGCAGCTCAACTTGAAACATTTCTTCAAATTTGACATTAGCTAAAATGGTGGGTTTGTTTGGTTTTTCAGATGGTGTGTGAGCGCTCTGATGTGTTTGCATCAGCGTGTGCCATTGCCCGTGCTTTCCCGCTCTTCACCCGCCGTTCAGCATCTTCTCGCAGGACAGAGAAGAAGCACGTCACTGTGGAGTTTGTGACTGTGGGTCAGGACAACGGCCCGCTGGAGGTCTCCACACTAGAGGTAAAGCATTAAAGTGTTCAGAGCTACCTTCCTGTGCATCAGATTAAGTTAGTTACTAGATCATTTATGATTATGCATCATTATATCACATCTATTTGAATGTGCAAGTGGTTGTTTCCAGTGTCTTGCCAGTGCGGCGGATGGAGTTCGTCTGGCTGCTCGAATTGTGGACGCTCCATGCAGTGAAATGAATACTGATGACTTCCTGAAGGCAAGCATTTCTACTCGCAGTTTCTGTGAAACAGTATTATTATATATTATTATAGTATTTATTAACATTTTGATTTCAGTTTATTTTATTGTAAGTTTTAGTCGTTATTTTCTATGTGCTTTTGTCACTTTTATTATATTTTTGAACACTAGGGATGTAACAATTAACCGCGAGCCGGTTGAAAATCGATTTAAATATGTGACGATTCAAATCGGTTGAGATGCTAAACAAATCGCGATTCAATTAGGGGTAGGAGTTTATATGAATGTATGTCTGAGGGGAACTTACTGTCTTTGAATCGTGAAATCAAAATTGTGAATCGAATCGTGAGTTGAGTGAATTCTTAAATCCCTATTTAACACCGTTAAGCTTAATATAAATGTTTATTTCAGTTTTTAGTCATTTTAGTACTTGAATTTATTTTATTTTAGTTTGCACTGCAGGTTTTAAGATTCAGATTGAGATTCCTTTATTTGTCATTTTTATGCTCCACATAAAACAAAATTGTGTTACACACATCCCCCACTCAGTAATTCAGTGCAAAACTATAAAATAAATAGCTAATAAGAATACTAATAAAGCTAAAGTAGAATAAAAAAGGGCAGTGTCTTGAGTGCAAATGATAATTTTCAGAAAAGAACACACTAATGAAACGATGGAGCTGGGCAGTGCGACGTAATTGAAAGAATGTTAATATGAGTTAATATGAGCCTAAAAGGAGAGAGATAAATCGAAAATAACACCTTTTTAACAGTACAAGATGATCTAATAAGAGTACCAGCTATTTCACAAGAAAAGTCATTAGGAATGTTTAGTTTCAAAAAATTTGAGGTTAGCCAATCTTTTATTTTATGTATACAAGCAGAGATTGTCAACTTGAGTGGATAGAGTGGGCCTATTTTCAATGTCATCAGCATATAAATGGTAATTAAAGCCATGTTGGTACAGGATTTGATGCAGGGGTAGTATGTAAATAATGAATAGTAGTCGGCCTAGAACAGATCCCTGGGGGACACCTTGCTTCAAATTGGCAGTAGGAAATCGCAAATCCTGCACTGAAATGTAGAACTGTCTGTCAGAGAAATAAGAAAACCAAGAAAGAGAAGCACCAGAAATACCCACATCAGAGAGGCGGGAAATAAGTCTTAAAAGTCTTAAATCAGAGCAGAACATCTTAAATTCATAAAGTTATGGCAATAAATTTTGCATGCATTTCAAAAAATGAATATCTTTCTCAGTGTTTTTCAGTACAAATAGCCTACCTGAACATCCTTAAATCAAGATGCATTTACTTAAGATGCAAATGTAAAATTTAGGGCCCTATTTTAACGATCTAAGCACATGGTCTAAATCCACTTTTGCTAGTATAATGACGGGAAAAACGGCGCATGGTCTAAAAGGGTTGTCCTACGTCACTATGGCGTTTAAATAGTGTCAAATCTCGCGCACATGATATGAGCGCACAGAACAGTATCCGTGCGTGGAAAATCATCCTTGCGAGGGAGCATTTCTGCACCGCGAGTGCACAGAACAGTATCCACGTGCAAAAATGCACTCTCGCGAGAACGGCGCTGAGTAGCGCTCGCTCGACCCTCTCTACGCCCTCTCAACTGCTCAACCCCTGCTCGCTCGTCAAGTTGACTTTTGAGACTTGAGGCGGGGATCAAATGTCAAATGTCTCCGCTCCTGTGATCATCATTTATGATGGGGTCATTTTCAACACATACCGCTTAAGTCATGACCTTAGGAATAGTTTTTTTTTTTTTTTTTCCAATAATTAATCATGTATAAATAACATGGCAACACCAATACATATTTGCATTAGACTATAAAAACAGGTATGAAACATGAAACATAAGGAATAGTCTATAGTCATTTCAATAATTGAGAATCAATTTACATATTACATATTACTATTCACAAATACTAGTCCATATTGCGATATGATTAGGTGTGCAGTCCTACTTTTGTTTTACACGCAGAAAATGTCATGACCTGCCGCGTTAAACAGTAAATTACGTTTTAATGACTAGATTCTAAGATTACGTCCACATTTTCAGCATCGCGGATATCATAGGACTTTAAAAATATTATGCGGACCCCCTGGCTATTATATACTCCACTTTGAGAACCTATGTTTTAAGGGTTCGTCAGCTAGCTTTAGCAAACTAAACATTTAGCTAGCTAGCCATTTACAGTACAAGGCTTACTTGCTCTGACATGATGGTATGGATGGACCCATACGTTAATCTGTTTATATCTCTATAAACAACACTGGCTGGAGCAGAGTGTGGAAACGAGGCATGATACGTGTCAGTGATGAAACCAGTCAATCAAATGTCATGGTCGGTGTTGACCAATCACAGGAGCGGAGACATCTGACATTTGATCCCCGACTCCAAAGTCTGAAACGTCAACTTGAGAGCCAGCAGGGGTTAAGCAGTTGAGAGGGCGTAGAGAAGGGCCCTGTCCCAAATGGCACGGTCTTCCTCTGAGTCCGCACTTTCATGACATAATGCCGGTTTGACTGTCGTGTAGAAGTCTGCTACGGAGCTCGCACCAGTGCGGGAAAAAGTGCGGATCGAGGGTGCATAACGGCCACAAAGGGCGCTCGCGAGCACCCTTCTGAACGCTAAAATGACAAATGGGACACCCTACGGCAGGGTTTCTCAAATCTTACCCTGGAGGGCCAATGCGCTGCAGAGTTTAGCTCCAACCCTGATCAAACTCACCTCACTGTGATTTTCTAATGATCGTGAAGACACTGATATTAGTATGCTCAGGTGTGTTTGATTAGGGTTAGAGCTAAACTCTGCAGGAAAGTGGATCTTGTGGGCCAGATTTGAGGATCCCTGCTCTACGGTCTCGTGGACTTAACGGACACGCGCACGCGGCGGCCATTGTAAGTCCGTAAGACCACAAGTGCACATGAAGTGTACCATTTGGGACAGGGCCAGGGTTGAGCGAGCGCAACTCAGCGCCATTCTCGTGAGAGCGCATTTTTGCAAGCGGATACTGTTCTGTGCGCTCATATCATGTGTGTGAGATTTGACACTATTTAAACGCCATACTATTTACACGGCGGTATTTGCAAGAGCAAAGACTGAAGGCGTCTCCAGAGAGGAAACGTATCTGCTCGTGTGCAAGCAAATGGGTAGCCTAATTCCGATACGTGCAATGACTATCCATTATGACATGTAGGCATTTTTATATTTATGTAGCCTACACAATAATAATCTTTTACATTGTAATCCTCAATTTTTAATATTTGGCATGTTTGTGTGCTGCTGCTGCTGTGTGTAATAAGCAGAGTGTACGTGCGTTGTAGACTCGCCTATAGGCGCATATTACTAACGCGCTCTTTAAATAACAAAAAAATACTGCGCCATTGACTTTAGACCAGGTTTCAAGCGGATACTGTTCTGTGCGCTCATATCATGTGTGTGAGATTTGACACTATTTAAACGCCATACTATTTACACGGCGGTATTTGCAAGAGCAAAGACTGAAGGCGTCTCCAGAGAGGAAACGTATCTGCTCGTGTGCAAGCAAATGGGTAGCCTAATTCTGATACATGCAATGACTATCCATTATGACATGTAGGCATTTTTATATTTATGTAGCCTACACAATAATAATCTTTTACATTGTAATCCTCAATTTTTAATATTTGGCATGTTTGTGTGCTGCTGCTGCTGTGTGTAATAAGCAGAGTGTACGTGCGTTGTAGACTCGCCTATAGGCGCATATTACTAACGCGCTCTTTAAATAACAAAAAAATACTGCGCCATTGACTTTAGACCAGGTTTAACTTGGTCAATGGCGCAATCCATTTCAGTTGCCTCAAAATATCAATGCGCCTGAACACCTCGTTTTCAGGCCATCACGCCCATAGGTGCACAAATGGGCTCAAATGCATTTGCTATTTAAACAATGGCCCTGTCCCAAATGGCACCCTAAACCCTCGTGGTCTTCCTGTGAGTCCGCATTTTCGTGACGTAATGCCGCTTTGACTGTCGGGTAGAAGTCTGCTGCGGACCTCGCCCCTGTGCGCAAGTAGGTATAACTGCAGACCGGAGATCTCCAAAATGGGGCGTGAACTCCAAAAGTGGGCAGAACCTCCTAAATGGGGCGGGGTCTCCTCACGCAAAGACTTTCTCCATTGGCTCTGGCTTCAGCCAATTGTTATTGACTTGCATTTCAAAATAAAACTTTATAAATTAAACATTGTTTCTAGTTCATCTAAAATAAAATATGCTATATAAATACATATTCTCCGTGAGAGCAGAGCCCAAAGCTCGTGGCCAGTGGTGTTCGGACGGAGTTTGAACCTCTGCTTCATGATATAAACGGAAATCACCCACGAGCTCTCCCGCGAGCCGTCCCAGCGCAGCGCAGGGGAACGATTTTACTCTATCGCTTTGTTCCAAGCAACGGGGGCATCCCGGGGCACGAAATTCGCAGGGTAGGAGGGGGTAGTGATGCTGGGTGTAACTAAAAAGGTGCCATTGTCCGGTGAGGTCCGGTTGGGGAGTTACGGAACGATCTCATATCGCATAATCTTATTAACTGTTTATCTCCTGAACTGCAACTTTCTTTACCACGCTATTCAGCGCCAATCCCGCCATGCAGTCAATTTCACTGGTTAAGGTTAAGGTTAGGGTCAGGTGTGGGGTAGGTTTAGGGGTTAGCATTTTTTGTAGCATAGTGTAGGAAATCAACACTTTAATTGACACAACCAATAAAATCTTTAGAATCACTGTGGGGTGGAGTTTGCACCGGGGCTCGAAATTCGCAGGGTAGGAGGGGGTAGTGACGCTGGGTGTAACTAAAACAGTGCCATCGTCTGGTGAGGTCCGGTTGGGGAGTTACGGAACGATCTCCTATCGCATAATCTTATTAACTGTTTATCTCCTGAACTGCATCTTTCTTTACCACGCTATTCAGCGCCAATCCCGCCGTACAGTCAATTTCACTGGTTAAGGTTACGGTCAGGTGTGGGGTAGGTTTAGGGGTTAGCATTTTTTTGTAGCATAGTGTAGGAAATCAACAATTTGATTGACACAACCAATAAAATCTTTAGAATCAGCTGTGGGGCGGAGTTTGCACTGAAGTGGATTGGGGGGAAAAATTGCGCATGTGTGTCATGTGCCTGTCTGTCAATGGGAGGAAGCCACGCCCTATTTTGGAGCTCCCACCCCGTTTTGGAGTTCCCGCCCCCATTTGGAGATCTCCAGGCTGCAGTTATACCCTTCTCCCGGTGCGGGCTCGGCAGAAGTGCGGATTGAGGGTGCATAACGGCCACAAAGGGGGTGCTCGCGAGCACCCTTCTGAATGCTAAAATGACGAATGGGACACCCTACGGTCTTGTGGACTTAACGGACACGCACACGCGGCGGCTATTGTAAGTCCATAAGACCGCAAGTGCACATGAAGTGTTCCATTTGGGACAGGGCCAACGTGGCGCAGGGCATGAAAATAACTGCATCAGGCTGAAACTAGCAAAAAACACTTGCGTCGCCTTGCATTGCGCTGGATGTATGATAGGGCCCATAGTCTTGAAAAATTGAACAAATTTCAGTTTTTATGCTTAAAACAAGAAGAAAAAATCTGTCAATGGAGAATGAGAAAGTGTTTTCCTTTTTGATTTTTAAGTTTAGGTTTTCTCATCTAGTATTTATTTATTTATTTATTTATTTTTTGAGTTATTTCAATTAACAAAAACTTTTTAATAGTTTTAGTTACCTCTAACAACACTGCTGTGAGAAATGCATGCTGAAATTGCTTTTCCACTCATGATACATTATGCAATCTTCTGCAGGAAATCAAGGCAGTGGGGAATGAATTAGGCATCACTCCAACTATAATTCGAGGAGAGGAACTGAAACAAAAGGGCTTTGGAGGTAATCTTAAGTTTCTTCTTTAAAAAGGCAGCAGATTGCAACATTCTCTGATCTATGATGAAAAATATGAGCTTGCAATCTCATCACAAGGTGAGTGAATGTATGTGTTATTTCAGAACTGCTTGGTGGTGCTTCTTTCAGATGAAGTTTTTCTGGCACGTAAAGAAAAATCATGCATGCTATTTTAAGCTTGAAAATGCATTTTGTTTTGCATGACACCAGATAACCGTTATCTCTGTGCATATGTTCATGTGTGCAAAATCACTCTCTCTTTAGGTATCTATGGAGTTGGTAAAGCTGCCCAGCATCCTCCTGCATTGGCTGTGCTCAGCCACACTCCCTCAGGAGCCACACAGACCATTGCCTGGGTGGGCAAAGGCATTGTGTATGACACTGGCGGTCTCAGCATCAAGGGCAAAGTAAATACTGCGCCTTACTGTCTGCCTAGTGCATTAAAAGATGGGCAGAATGCTCAATAATAGTATTTTTTTTTCTTCAAGGTTATTAGATATTATAAGATATTATTTAAGGTATAAGATGTTAAAAGATATTATTTTGCAATGTTGTTTGGTGCTGCTAGAAGCACAGAAATGACACCCTTCACCTTTAAACGCCACATTTGACTCCTTTTAGGCTTATTTGTTATTTGTACAACTTATTTTTCTCCCCTTTATAGACCACAATGCCAGGAATGAAGAGAGACTGTGGAGGAGCCGCAGCCGTTTTAGGAGCTTTTAAAGCTACTGTTAAACAGGTACTGATTATTTTGATAGCTAACAGATCACTGGCTGCTAAACTTATCTTCATTAAAGGTCCTAACCCCGGTCTCAGGTGGTCTGCTCACAAGTGGGCAGCCAAGACGGCTTGCACTTTACACCTAGTATTAATGTGTGTCTGCAGTCACCATTTAATATTTTGTTTATGGGAGGGTGTCTCATTTCATAAGTGTGTGTGATGTTAGTATACCAAATGTGTTCAGTGAAGACTTGTATTCACTAGTGCTCAAAAGTTTGGGTTCGGTAAGATTGTTTTTCAATGAAATATCTTTCAGTGCTAACCAAGGCTGCATTTATTTTATAAAAATAGTTTAAAACATTTTAACAGTTTACAATTTAAAATAACTCTTTTCTATTATATATTTTTTTAATATAACTTATTCCTGTGATCAAAGCTGAATTTTCAGCATCATTACTCTAATGTTCAGTGTCACATGATCTTTCAGAAATCATTCTAATATGCTGATTTGCTTGTTATTATCAAAGTTGAAACAGTTGTGCTGCTTAATATTTCAGTGGAAACCATTATATATTTTTTCCGGATTGTTTGGTGAATAGAAAGTTCAAAACAACAGCATTTATTTGAAATAGATATCTTTTGTAACATTATAAATGTCTTTGCTGTCACTTTTGCTCAATTAATTGCATCACTGCTGAATAAAAGTCCAAGTCCCTAAACAATCGTACAGACCCCCAAACGTTTAAAATGTAGTTTATGTTTTTAACATTTTTCTAGGTTATTGTTTTGGTGCAGTGATTACGCGTTGCATGAATGATGCATTAGTGTTTACATTACATATGCGACCTAGCCGTATTTATCCATGACCTCATGGTGTAAGCGAACCTGTTTACATCTGCATTTGTGATCACATTGCACAAAACGGATGTTAATATCAGGTGTAACCTTAATTAATTTTTATTTTGATAGCTAACAGCTTAATTTAGTTTTATTTTAATACCTGTTGGAAGTTCAGACATTGACTTCTGTTGCATGTCTCAGGGCTTTAAGGACAATCTTCATGCAGTTTTCTGCCTAGCTGAGAACTCAGTGGGACCTACAGCCACTCGACCAGATGATATACACACTCTCTACTCTGGAAAGTAAGTTTAGGCGTCCCAGTGAAAACATCTTCCATGTGTCCTAACCAGCAATGCAGTTTGCCTATAACTGAGGTGTGTTTCTGTTGTTTTTCAGAACAGTGGAGATAAACAACACTGATGCTGAAGGGAGGCTGGTGCTCTCTGATGGTGTTGTATATGCGAACAAAGATCTCTCTGCAGACATCATACTGGACATGGCGACGCTGACCGGTGCTCAGGTGCGTTGGTGTTGACACGTTAGTGTGTGAGGATCTTCTGAATGCACTTGCTTGCTTCTCTTATTAGTAAAAGGGTGATAATTCTATATTCGGTTTCAGTGCAGTCATTCCATCTACTTTGTGTACAAGTCTTTACAGGTTTTGACTGAGAACAAGATATTGTATATTGATATGTTTGAGGCAGGATTTCTGGGCCAGATTTCTTTTTAAGCTAAGCGTAAAAAGAGAAATGAGTGTCACATGATATCAGGAGGAATTGGAGGAATTCCAGAACCCAAACCAGTTCTCTGTTTATCAGCTAACACGTATAGCTGTTTTAAACTGCTTTATGGCTGTTGCACTTTGGATTTTGGCAAAACTCCGTTATATTTATGTCCTGTGTGTTCATAATCGTGATGGAGACTCTTTTTTGAAGAGTGGCCACTGAATCACTTCTTTGTTTAGTTTTTTTGTCATGCATTTTAGTCAGTAGTGCTGACCAAAAAATTGCATTGATCAGACGGCAGCATGTAAAAAAAAAAAAAACTATACTTTTATTCAGCAAGGATGGATTAAATTGATCAAAAGTGAGACTAAAGACATTTTATAATGCTATAAAATATTTTTTACAAATAAAGTTATTTTGAACTTTCTATTCATCAAAGAATCCTAACAAAATAATTATTACAGGTTTTCACAAAACTTTTAAGCATCACAGTTGTTTTCATCATTGATAATAATAATTGTTTCTTGAGCAGTAAATCAGCATATTGGAATGGTTTCTGAAGGATCATGTGACACTGAAAACTGGAGTAATGATGCTGAAAATTCAGCTCTGTCCTCACAAGAATAAATTATGTTTTCAAATAGAAAACGGTTGTTTTAAATCATAATAATATTTATTAATATAATTGTTTTAAAATCCAGTTCCCAGTCAATAAAAGGATGTCCCATACTACTCAAACATCCTATCTCTTGTGTTTTCTGTTTCCCGCTGCAGGGAATCTCCACGGGGAAGTATCACGCTGCTGTGATGACCAACAGTGAGCAGTGGGAAGCTGCTTGTGTGAGAGCGGGCCGCAGCAGCGGAGACCTGGCACATCCTCTGGTCTACTGCCCCGAGCTTCACTTCAGTGAATTCACCTCAGCTGTGGCTGACATGAAGAACTCTGTGGCGGTGAGGAAACGGGGAAGAGATGGGAAGATTAAGAAGTGAAAGGGGATAAAGAGAGTGTGCTTTATTTCCCACAAATGTTCACTATAGTGATGGAAGTTACTGGAATTGTGCACCATACAGTGCATAATAATTGTTTACCGTTAGGACATGAGGGACTTTTTTAGCTTTTATTTTGTGTTTTATTTTGTTTTACTTTGCTTTTTTAATTTTATTTAGTTTTGCTTATTTTATATTTTTACATAGTGTTTTATTTTACTTTATTTTAATGTTAATTTTATTCATTTTTTAACTTTTAATTTTATTTTTTTACTTTTTATTTTATTGATTTTTTTTTAACCTTTTTTATTTACATTTTACTTTTTTATAGTTTTGTTTACTTTTTTTTTACATTTTTTTTACTTATTTAAAAAAATATATTTATTACTTTATTTCACTTTTTCTTTTATTTTACCCTTTTGTTTTTTTTTGTATTAGTTTTATTTTATCCTTTCTTTTTTACATTTTTAGTTTGTTGTTTTATTTGACTTTTTATACTTTTTTTTTACTTTACATTTTACTTTTTCTTTATTTAATATTTGATTTATTTTATTGTTTTATTGTAACTTTTATTTATTTTATTTTATTGCTGTCTGAATTGGAATTTTCAGTTCTTCTCAACCTATTCAATTTAAATGAATTTGAATAGTAATTTGATTTGAATTGAGTTAACGTTGGTGCATATTTTGTGTGTCTGCAGGACCGTGAGAATGCGCAGAGCTCCTGTGCTGGCCTCTTCATTGGCTCTCATCTGGGTTTTGATTGGCCAGGCGTTTGGGTACATGTGGACATCGCTTCACCAGTCCACGCTGTGAGTATAGACTGAGCATGAACTGAAATGATGCATATTTCTCCAAGAACTGTTAATAATTGATCAGTGTGGATTGTGGACAGGGGGAGCGTGCCACCGGTTTCGGTGTGGCCATGCTCTTGGCTCTGTTTGGCCAGGCGTCTGAGGACCCCTTGCTCAAATCTGTGTCCCCTTTGGGTGCCGCCACAGCCAAAACTGCCTCTGAAGACCAGATGGAGAGGGACTGCAAGAGGAGAAGACTTGTCTAAGATGATTTCAAACTGTTCTTAATCTTCAAAACAATTAAATATCAGTCACGCCTTGTAAATGCTCTTTCACAAAAGTTGTATCCATTAGACACACACACACACACACCCCTTGCTCTACCCCGTCCTGTACTGACCACCTCAGATAACCTCCCTCAGTAAAGCTTATACACATAGTTATGAATTTAATTAAAAGTGCAACGTTGTCTCAATGTTTCGTAATGTACATGTGGATATCTTTCACAGTTTGCCATAGGGAATGTCGCAGGAACAGCAAGGGGCTTGAAGTATCTGTCAGCAAATACTGTATTGAAGTCTTCAACATCTTTCTTTTTTCAATCAGAAAGTGTTTAAAATGCAGTCATTTGATTTTCATTTCAAACTAAAATGATGACACGATCACAATGTTAGTGATGTTTTTGACTCTAAATTTGTGCTGGCGATATTCACTTTTGATGCCAATTTTGTAAGTGTGGCAAATGAAGAATATGGAATGTGAATGACAAAAAACCTTTGAGTAAATGGTCAAAAAAAAAAACATTTGTTCACAATTATTTTCTCTGCTATATGTCTGCAATTACTCAGAAAATCTACAGATTGTGACACCATCATCATCAAAATCTGAATGCAAAGGGAAATAACATCACAATCAATTTCTCACCACCAATTAACTTACAGACTTTAAAATTAACATTAAAACTATTTCTATGGAATGTAATAATAACAGTTGCTGACCTTTGTGTAATCATTAATTAGAAATTATTTGGAAATATATTTAATCCATTCATTTTTCCCAGTAAACGTTCATCTAAGGTTTCATCTAAAAACACAAAATATAAAATTAACATTAAATGATATATAGATATATTATGTATGTTAGATTGTCTTTATTCTGATTTTATCTAAAGTCTATGACTAATACAGCAATGGGAAGTTATGATTTTCTAAAATCAGAGTCAGTCAGTAAATTTTCTTTTTCTGACTTGTGAACTGAATAGAAAGCCATAATCTGGGGGTGAATAAAACTCTGATTCTTCCACGGGTTCCGCTTTAATAGGAAGCTCATCTTCAGACTTGGTATCAGTCTTCTGTGGAACATCTTCCATCTTTACAATGACGTTCTCGTGAATTGTAATCTGCATGGCTGGCAGAGCAATGAAGCTCTTGATAATGTCCTTTGGTGATGCACTGAGATTGACTGTGAGCACTGATTTTATGACCCCGTCTTCAATCTTTGCCTTCACAACATTTCCTGTTTCTGGTTTAAGATCCAGGTGACCACTAAAGTTCATTATGATGGCAGTGCTTTTATAATGTGTTGCATGAGATAGAATATAGAGTTGGGCTTGACAGTGTCACATTCTTCAGTTTTATGTTTACGAGGACAAATGAAGAGATTTTTAATGTTTGCACCAATGATATCACATCTGATAGTTTCTGTCGGCACTTGAACAGCAGCTGCTGTACCTTGAGATGGGATGCTGACGATCTGTGTGTCTTTGGTAGTTGATAGGGATGTCTTGCCCCTGATCTCTCTCACGGAGACATCTGTAATGTAGCACCATTCACCGACAGTCATGCTGTGCTCACACCAGACCGTTAGACTCATGCAGCCTGTGGTATCTGCTACACTATATTCAGTTCTTGGAAGATTCTGTCCATCGCAAACAACACGCACTTCCTGGATAATCTTTGCATTGATGTTGACCTGTGCAATATACAGAAAACAAACAGATGCATATGGTTTAGTGACTTGACACTTGGCTATTTAAAAAAAAAAAAATTTAAATGACAACAAAAATTACTTGAATACACCTCTCCATTTAAAAAATTTTTTTTTTTTTTTAATTAAATTTCATTTATTATTTTATGTATGTATGGTTTTTTTTTGGGGTAGGAGAGTTAAAAATATCCAGATATCCAGATGCAAATGTCAAGATATTGTAATACAGAGTATACATATATATAAAAAAGGGGCAAATACAGAAAAAAGTCTTTACCTTTAGTAGTTGTACAATCTTTTATAATTGTGTCTTTAAATAATCAGTACAGCAGTTTGGAATTTATTATTAATAAATGGAAAACATGTCTGCCAACTCAAAAGTAATATAACATGCAGGAAGCTATTATTTATTAATTTATTGTTTATTTGTTTTTTGTTTGCGATAAAAATAGGAAATTATATCCTATAGATAGTTTTATTTTATTTTATACTAACTTAGTGAAATATGCATTGATTTTCATTCTTTAAATACAGGCGGTATAACAACATAACGTGGGATGTAGGTTTCATTGTCCAGGAATTTGTTTAATTTGTAAAACTGCACAATGGCATTTTGTGATAGTATTTATTATAAACTACCCACCCTCTTTGGTTTTGTATGCAGGTTAAGGAGTTCAGACAATTGCACAATTGCTTCACGAACGCAGGATATTTTAGAGCTGTGAGTGTAGAAGACGTCTATTCTTCTGCTGGACTCCACAGACGACTGTAAAACCACATCCTCTAGTGTAGTGTAACTAAGCTCCTGCACAAGGATTTGATAGACAAACATTTACAATAAATCTGATAACAGAGATGAACAGGATAGGTGTTTGAATAATTCGACTGTATTATGTAGTATGAAATGTAGCTTAATAAACCATTTTAGAAACTTTAGAAAAATAAGATGCCTTTATTTTTGTGAGAGAAGGAAGACTTACCGGGTCTTTTCTGCGTTGTGGAAGTGCATGTGATCTTCTGGTCTGAAGACCACAACTTTGCTATTTCCAACTTAATGTTGAAGAACGGCATCAAAATACGTGTCTTTTACGGGGCTCACGTCTGTTTCCTTAATTTTTTGGCTGGACTTTGTTCTGCCATGTCTGATGGATAGCAGCTGTTAACTTCCTTTTTCAAGTTAAATTGGAGCAGCTGACACATGAACATACAGCAAACAATATCTCAGCTGACCAGACATCATCATATAATGTTCAAATTGTTAGATCAAGCTAAACTCTTTCTAAATTTTTTTTCTAGTCCTTACCAAAGATTATAAAGTGTTCCCTTTAAATGGTGTTTATTTAAGAGGTACATCAAGCTCTTTATCACTGTCACTGGAACCACAAACACACCTGCAAACACTCTGATAACAACTTACTCAAACCAACTCTGCATTTAGAAAAATATATTTCAAATTTAGCTATTGAAAACATTAACATCTAAACAATAAAGTGTCTATTATCATGCACACTGAGCTACTATTATCATTTACAGAAAACTATTGTGGCATTGAAACAGTTATGATACTGGACAGCAATACTATGTTGTTGTTTTTAAATACCATGATACTAATAATTACCATACTGATATTCTATATGGTATACCCATGGTATTGTTTGTTTGTGCTGTACTGCATCATGCAACCCATGAAACCACTTATTCAGGTGACAGTGAACCGCTTCTCAGATCAATGCATTTGAACTGAAAACAGCAATGCTTCAGCTGGTGAAACAGATGTCAATACAAGTACTACTGATCACCTTATATATAATATTACGTAAAAGAATAACAGAAAATATGCTTACCTGTACTCACGTCTCCTACGCTGTAAAAATTAAGACTGGACTTTGCCCATCACATGAAATGCAAACATGTATTATATAAGGTTATGATCTGTAAATATTATTGGAAGCAGAAGTATGCAGACCTAATAGTGATTCTTTATTTTACTTTTCATTTCAATATTTTTGGACCAGTGTTGTTACTGTTAACTAAAACTAAAACTTGTTTTTCGTTAATTGAAATAAAGCTGAAATTAATTAAAATAAAAAAATTTAATAAAATTAGAAATGTTGCCTTGGCAACTATCTAAAATAAAATATGTTGAAGCTGAAGTATTAAAATGACTAAAACTAAAACTGAAATAAAAATAAAGCTTACATAAACTAATAAAAATATTTATAAATACTATAATATAGTAAATAAATAAAACTAAAATAACATTATTTTAGGGCAAAAACATAACCTACATTTTAGACCCATATATATATATATATATATATATATATATATGTATATATATTGCCTCATTATCCCATTTTGCCTTATTCATTGAGACTAATAATTTTCACACACAAACACACACAGACAGAGAGGGACACACACACACACATACGTGGTGGGGCTAATTGTCACACTCTAGTGTATATTTTATATATTTAAGTTTTGGCTACAAAAAAAATCATAATAAATAAAAACTAATTTTATTACACACTGACCTTTTGTGAAAAAACGCCCTATGCTGTCACACTCTATAGTGTAAGTTGTCACAATGGGAAATTGCTGTTCACTCAGAACTGTTTACTGACACTGAAGTAGATTATGAAAACGAGAATTTATGCAGTTGGGCTTTCCTTAGATCAGTTTGTGACAACTTCCGTGTGTGACAACTAGCCCCGGTCTCGCTTATAATGTCAATTATTGGGTATTTTGTGGCCAGAAAGCGTCTGACAAACACAACATATTTTTTCTTAGAAGATGCCCTATAAGAGAGTTCGTTTCGATGTTTTCTCCACGCCTCCATGCAGACACGAGGAATAAAACCGCAGTGCAGACTGGTGTGCTGATCACATGACCGCCTGAGATTCAACATGGCTCGCGTGCTGCTCTTTTATCTGTTTACTCTGTCGGGTGTTTTCGCCGGACGGTATTTTAATGAGAATGAGCCCTGCTACAGACCCCAGCCGAGGAGAAACCTACAAGGAGTCAAGTATGTCAAACTGTCATTTTTTCTAAACTTCATAAAACTCAAATTATACATAAACATTTCTATGTCTAAGTTACCTGAGTAGTGCATGAAATGCGCCTCTAGGGCCGTGTCTCAAATCTCAACGTCTCAGTCAGCAGTTTTGAGTATCAGACGTTGAGGCAAACAAACACACTGTTGAGGCAAAAAAAACGATCTAGGTAGCTACATCTGGGTTTTACTAGTGGGTTTTAATACGTTAACTAACTTTCTTCTTACTCTCTTAAAAACTTAAAAGAGATCAAATAAATTAAGTAGTGGTTCTTTTCTTTTCT